TGGCAGGTGGCAAGACAGCAGCCCACAGTGGCTCCTGACTGCCCACAACGATCACAACGCTGCAGAATGAAGGACAAAAACAACGTTTATTAACTTATAATTATATCTCAGTTATGCGGCTTGTCCCAACGTGTACACTCAGAACTAGAGTGACAATCTTACCAAGTGGCGCCCTCTTGAGACAGCACTGTGCACTTGTAAAAGAGCACTATTCTCTTCATACACCTCTGCTGACCAAAGGCAACAGTTAACATGGGCCCATTCATTCTGTCCCAAGTACAAGAGCCGTCCTGCATCCTATCAGATTGAAAATACATTCATGTCACTTACCAAGCAGTAGAGAAAACCCACTTTCTTATAATAAACAAAGACATTTAGAAAAAACAGTCCAATCAGAGCAGTTGTAATAGCAACATAAAGCAACAGGTTCCTGTATACAAATATCTGACTTCAGATTAAACAGTTTATTTATTCTGCTATTTTGATGATCAGTGCTTTCAGCCATTTATTAGTTACAGCCCTTGTTGTGAAATCAGCTGAACTCACACTTGGAGCAGAGTCTCCATATTGTTGGCACAGTGCACAGTGCCTCGCATCTTCAATCTCTGTAGTTCCCAGATCACTTTTTACACCTGTGAAGAAGAAGCACCAAATAAGCATACATTTTTAAACTAAGAAAGACAATTAATACAACATAGCACCTTCATTTTCATTTGCTCATGTGAGACCTGTACAGATGTGAACATTTCTTCATAGAAATTAACTGCTGTTTTATCTCCAAAGGTTCTGGCAAAAATAATACACCTCAACACATGTGATAAGGAGCAGCCTCAAATAGATTCCATACCAGAATGGAGTGGGAGGCTGTGTAATGCACAAGCCTGCTGTGTAGCAACTGAGGATAGCAGAGCATCAGCTTTCCCCGCCTGTGGGCCCATGGACTCCTTAGGCTGGTATGTCCTCTCCAGCCACTGTGCATAGCTGTGTTCCTTAGACGGTGGAAGGACTGCCTCAGGGAGCATGCCACTGCCAAGTGAAGGATAGATAATGGACACAATGAAGAGTCAAACAGAGAGGAGGCTCAGAAAAGCATTTGACACAACTACTACAGTGTCCTGAGTGATACGTTTATTCTGTAAACTGAACACTCATGTTTTTAAAAATCGGTTACAAAATGTAATTTATTTGGAATTTTGTGCATTTCTATTATTAGTGGAATGAAGGTATTTTTTCTCCTGAATGGAACATGTACAAGGGTATTTGGCCATAAAGTTACCTTGGGAATTCCTCAGAGCTCCACTTTTGTAGACTGTGTGCAGGAAACCACCGGAAAACTCGCTTCATCAACTGTCAGAAATACAACATTTAAATAAGATCAAATTCAAATAAAGGTGAAGGACAGTGTCTATATTTTTGGCCAATATTTTAGTCTTTTTTATAGTCAGTATGTTTAGTGCTTCAGCTCCAAATTTCAAACCAGAGGAAGTGACTACAAAATTAGGGTCTCTAAAAATAAACTGTGGGAGATTTGGGGGTGGAGGAAAGCTCACTTTGATATAGTGTGCCCTGGCCTGAGTGGTCAGCCGCTGATTCTCGGGAACAAGTTCCTCCTCTTTCAGCCACTTCCTCATCATGCAGGCAACATCTGCATGGAAAGTTTTCTGGGTGATTGGGAAGGAAAAAGGGAGATGAGAGATTCAATCAAGAGAATCTAAAAAAAAAATGAGTTTCAGAAAAAGAACATAATTCGTTTGATTACTATTTTCATCATTTTACTGTCTGGATGTGGTGACTTGTTCTCAAACATTAGCAGATCATAAAGATAAAAAAATTCTCACTATTGAGGTGTAATCTCCTCCTTTAAACCTCTTCTCTATGGCTTGTAGATCACAGACTGCCTGCTGTTCTTTGACAATTCCTGGGCTGTTTGTTTCCCGACACTGAAATACAAAAATCACCAAAAGTAATAATAAATATATATCTGGATAGAAATAGTAGAAAGTTAACAGCCTATGTTAACATTTTGCAGATAAAACAATAACTCCCTTCCACCTCTGTGGAACAGAACATCAAGGATATTATGTGTCCAAGCCCTGTGGGTGGTTCTCACCTCTTTACAGATGAGGAGGTGCTGTGTGGTGATGTTGGAGAGGAGGTCGGTGATTACCTCCTCCAACCCAGCCATCAGCCTGCTCTGCAGCGCTGCTTTCAAGCTGCTCTGTTGTGTTTGGTGCTGGCTACAGGGTGAACAGGTGAAAAAGGCTCCTTCCGGTTGACTTGACAGCAACCTAAACAGTTCCTCTGCATTGAAATGGAAAACATGAATCCTCAGCAGTTTTGTTTCTAAATCAGACGTGCTAGGTGACTAAACACATTAGTTCCAACATGAGGTCTCATTCTTTGAAATTCCCTTATATATTGTTGTGTTGGAATGAAACCTCATCGATGAATATACAGATTTCATAGTCACCTGAAAGTCCTTCACACTTGTAATGTATCCAGTGGCTGCACTCTGAACACTGAATCATCTGAGTGTGTTTGTTGCTGTCATCATAGCACTTATGGCAGACAGCGCAGAAGTTGCCTGATGTAAATACAGATGAGATATAAGTCACATCATAAACACTTTGACATCAGCCTTTATTAGTGCAACACATACTATATGTAGGTCATTCTTCTAAACAACACTTGAATCGTTTGGCTCACTTATGACTGTCTTATCTCTAGACAGTCATAAGAGTGAAGGCTTACACTCAACAAAACATGGGTCTACTGAACATTCAGAAATGTGGCTACACAGCCTCCACAGAACACTGGTGTCTCTTAGATGCCGTACCTTTATCGTGGAGAGACGTGCACTCAGGACAGAGATCCTGCTCATGATTCCAGACCAAGTCCCAGGTCTTTCCTGGGGTCACACCACAGCTTCTACACCGAATGCATGTCATGCACATCTGCACAAACACAGAAAACAGCAAGCATATGAAGCCCAGGCAGGGCTTTCCTCTTAGCAAAGCCCCATAAGCACTCAACAATGAGCAGTTATGTCACTCTTGAACCTTGCAAAATTATCTGTTTATTTTATGCAGATCTCACAGACAGAAACACTATATTTCCACATTTATACATAATTCTATAAAGCAAATACCCAGGGCAAGCTGCAATTCACAGGTTTAGGGTACGTTGGTCCCAAACATGAAGGATGGTAGCAGGTTTGACATCTCTGACACTGCAGCACAGGCTATGGTGGAGGGATAAAAAAAAACAAACAAACAGCAAAAGGTCCATTAAGAATTAGGTTTTGGTTAGCTAGCACCTATGTCATCTCTCCTAGCTTTTCATTCCTCTGCTGTGTACAGAAGATATCACGTCTACAACATACGAAATTCATAAAAAGTGTCAAGAAAGATTTGATTATGAAAACCAGTATTTCACTTCTGTGTGCTACAGAACAATAATGTTCATGTTCCATGAAGAAACTGAATTTTGCTTCCAACAAAATTTGTTGTGTTTATGGCAGTGATGCTAGGCTGCATACCTTGGTGTTCTTGCTTTTACGGCCACAAACGTTACAGAATTTGCAGCGCCTGCAGCACCAGTTCTCCTTGTTCTCATCCTGGGGACACTCCTCTGATGAGAGGCAGAAACTGTGAAACGGCTCACAACAGATCTGGCAGAATATCATCTGATAAAAGATGAAGAGAAAAGGAGATCAGTTTAGTTAAAGGAATGTTATTAAGGTCATCGCAAATCATCACCAAAACACAGGATTTGTCAGCACGGGCGATGAAGATCAGAGAACTGTAAAATGTGAACAGAAAACACCATTATTATCGGTTATAAAATCCATACTGTGTCAGAATATTTAGGTTCTGGTAAAGTGCTCAGTTACCTCATGTTGTCCTTTACTGGCACAGAGTAGGCAGACTGGTTGTGGTGTGCTAGGGACCGATGTGAGCACGCTGAGGCCACCCATTAGCCATACATTTTGGACAGCACAGTCCTCCTGGTAGACGCAATGTAAAAAACAGCATGAGGAAAGTGGAGTTTTTCTCTCTACTCCTCTGAAGATATGTAATATTAACTTGAAACAAACTTCAAAAATAACCCTGAACTGCTAGAAGCATGGCAGCTTCTCAGCATGTTGCAATAATAAACACCTTCTGCTTTAGCCTTTTTTCGATTCAAAACCAAGATAAAGGTCATGTGTGCAACATGAACAAATCTGTAATTTAGTTTTCAAGCAAGAAGAACCATGAGACAGCCTCATCTTTTTCTATTATTGGTGAGGCACACTTCATTAATCATTACCTTAAGAGCCTTATAGTACCAAGTGTCTGTACTCAGACCTTGATTTGACTGCAATGCTCTGTCTAAACTGTCTACAGGATTTAACTTAGTGCACTGCAATCGCTTAGTGAACTGAGACACTTATTTCTTTTTATTTTAGAGCTGCAGGAAATCTAATAAGACAGTGACAAGCAACAAAAAAGACGTAAACTTAATGCTGGTACTGAAAAGCAACGTCAATGTCGCATTCACTCCTGTAAGTGGTAATACAAAAAGGCATCTGAACAATAGTGCAAAATCTCACCTTGAAGTCCACACGGATCTTGTACTTGTTCTGCAACAGGCCCTTTTGGGGAAATCCGTTAGTTAACCCCGTCAGGGTGTTCACTGATGCACACTCTGCAGGATTCTGGGAACGAAGGACACATTGTGGGTCAGTTGTTGGACAGTTTTGCAGCACCGTCTCTTTTACAGATGCATCCTCCTCCTCTTCAGGCTGATCCAATTGTTTGGCCTGCTGCTCCTTTTGTGTGCCCTCCTGTAACTTTGTGTCTGGATCGACAGTCTGAGGAAGCATCTGCACAGTTTTATCTTTGTTAACTCTGCATGTCTCAGTCAAAATGTCTGGGCGTTGCACCTCAGACTCCGGATACCCCTGAAAACACAACTTTGGTGAAACCTTTGTCTGAGCTGAGTGCAGTATGGACTGTGGATGTTGTTGAGATGATGTCAAGGCTGACTGTACCACAGACTGAGGCAAACGGTGCAAACATAACAGCATAGATTTATGTGCAGAGTCTGTTATGGGATGTGGTGAAGGAGAAGCAGGATGCCTTTCAGGCTGCAACAATTCTGGAGCAGACTGTGCTGTGGAGTGTGATGAAAGTAAAATAGTGGGCTGTGCTATAGGCTGGGACAAATTTAGATGCAACTTTACAGGACACTGATCCAGACAGTTGGGCAACTGCTGCGGCAAAGACCAAGTAGGCTGCAGCATAAAATCAGGCAGACGGTGTAAGTGTATTTGTAGCTGCTTCTGCAGCTTCGGCATTGGGCTCCTGGACGGGCTGGTTTCAGGGGAAGTTTCTCTGGGCTCCATCTCTTCTGTATTCTCCTGTTCCTGTGGAGGAGGGGACTGCCTAAGCCAACCAGTAAGACAGGTTCCAAAGTTACACCAATACTACTGACATGCAGAGGCGGCGACTGGCTACAGCCAAAATGAAAGGAAAGGAGAAGCTCTAAGACTTCAAGAATAGTGAGTTAGCCAAAAGTAATAGGTAAGAAAAGGTAAAAGAGAATTTAGCAAATGCATTAAGTAGACACACACAAAGAGGTGCGGTGAGATGTAAATATACAGCAAAGTGTTCATGTCTCCAGCGCAATTACTGCAGAAAACATAACTAACAGCTGGTTTGTCATTTTGTTGACAACACTTATTTAGAAACACTTAGTACTGTAAAACAGACTATGAACACTTTGTCAGTAAAAGTATGCAGATAGCACAAGATAGTCACCATCAGAAAATCATTTTGCTAGATGTGAGAAATAAAAATTTTTCAATAACAATGGACTTACACCTCCCTATGACTAGACTTGGAAATGCAACTGCAAGGTCCAAAATCAGACCAGATGTTGCACTGACAAAAACACAAGGTAAGAGTTCATGGTAAGATGCAGGGTGCTCTCAATTTGTTTCAGAAGGAGGATTGTTTTTTTTATTTTAAGCTGTGAAATATGGAGTGCTCTACCTACCACAATACACCTACATTAATATACAGTACGTATAGTAGTGGTCAATTTTTGCTTAGGTTATGCTGGCTTTTTTTTTATTTAACAAGGAGATGTAGAGAAATCTGAAGTCTCCTACAAGTGTGCACTGACACACACACACACACACACACACACACTTCCTGACAGCAGCAAAATAGTCATGAACTTTTTAGTTTAAATACCAAACACGTGCATAAATTGCTGGTTTAGATGTGCCAAGGATGTACACGCAGGCATTTGTATGTGCATTCTATTAGCTTCAAAGGTGCGTGCATGATTACATGATTACATTCATGCAGGTAAATAAATGTATGATTAAATTTATCTGTGCACTATACACTAACTATCTCACCTTCTCCATTGACACCCCCCCAAACACACACATAGACAATGGACTGTCTCTGACCAGCTCCTCCTCCTCTAAGTTATTAGCAAGCTAGTAAGGATAGCCAACCTTAGAATACAGCTGCTGCCGAGATTAGTATGCTGTATCATGTATATAGCATGGATGTTTTGTGGATAAGGTTAATGCTAGTTCTTAAACTCTAACACTGGATGTTTGCTCCCTCAGTCCAGGGTAAAAATGAAAATACATCCATCTATCATCTATACCGCTTATCCTGAATAGGGCCACAGGGGGCTGGAGCCATTCCTGGCTGACATTGGGCGAGAGGCGGGATGGGAATAATGAAAATCACACATGGAAAAAAGCTGAGCGGTCTCACTGTGATTAGCTATCCATTTAATTCCAGGCTTCAACCACTGAGGGCCAGGAAAAGAGGGCTGGAGAGAGAGATGTAGAAGAGGAGGAGGACAATAGCCAGCACAGTGGTGTGGGAGAGGCTGCTAGTGCAGCAACGACAGGTCAGATGAAAAGCACAACAAGAGCAAGCAGAGAGGCACTATAGTATTATTGTATAAAAGAAAACACACCCAGGTAGCTACCACCACAAGTACAATCAAATTCTGTGGGAAACACTGACTGTGGTGAGCATTGTGGACAAATCTACAGATAACAGAGACAAAACCAGGAAAATTGTATGTTGCCTCATTAACAATGACACTAACATTGGCCATAAGTAGGGCTGGGTATCATTTGGGTTTTTTCTTATACCGGTGCTAAAACAAGACTTTTAAACTGGTGCCATGGTGTGTACATAGCTTACGTATACAGAAAGCAGTAAAGTTACAAACTAGAGTTTGGTGTTCACAACATACATGCGATGTTTAAATTGGAAGTGCTTATGTCTGTAGAATGGTTAAAGGGAAATATGCAGAGACTAATAATAAATATATTGGATAATAAATGGTGTTATCTGTGCACACTTAGACTCAAAGGCATACTGAGCTCTTGTTGCTCTCTGCTGATGTTCATGGGTCGGATGAATCATGAATGTATTAAGGACATTATTTATTATCCAGTAGAACTAAAGGAAACCTTTTTGTAGAACCACTAGCTTGTATGATGCACAATCTGAGCTAAAAATAGCACGTATAGATGTAGCAAATGTAAGGCACAGACGTTCATCAACAAACAGCAGTGTTAAAGAGTGAATAACCTTAAATTCTACAGCATATTATACCAACTTACATAAACCACTGGGGCTTTATGGAGAACGCTCTTGAGTGAACAGCTTTATAAAGCACCATTCTCCTTAATACATCCTTAAACACACACCTCCGTGAGTGACTGAGCAGGAACAATCATTTACAGAAATCACTCAAGTCTGATGGATCTGATGAATGCACACTGGCTACTGTGGCTGTATAACTAACAGATCTACAAGGCATCACTGCTAGATGCCAGGGCAGTGATGGCCATCATGAAATTTATATCCTGCATAAAACAAAGGTTGATGACATTAAAAAACATATTGGCACCGGGTTTCGGTGCCTATCCCTAGCCATATGTGGTTAATTTTGTGCACCTGCTTCCGCTTGTTCTCATCTTCAGTATATTGTGGCTTCCTTTGTTGTTGGTGTATTTTGACAGGATAAGAAAGGTGAAGTTATTGGCATGTGGCAACGCAAACTAATGAGTCACTCATCAATAAGAAGAAGCACACAGTTGCCTTTGACCTCGGACATTACAATTCAAAATGTATTCACTGGGTCATCACAGTTATTACTGTGAAAGTTAGTGGTGGTATATGCTTCCACTCTGGTTTTACCAGATAGCCAAAATGTTTTTGAGAAAACCATCACTACTGATTCACAACCAACAAACAGCAAAACACTTGGAAGCAGCATCTGTACATAAACATAAAGGAATTTATTTTCCTCAGTCTTACTGGAGTAATTGAAAATTGTGAAAAAAGGGCAAAGGATTCAAGCAAGGCATATCTAAAGGTAAAGAAAGGTAAGAAAAAGAAAAATTATGAGTGCAAGTGCACTAACAGACCAATCTTGGAAAACAGAGCAGAGAGCTTTGAGAGTAGATGAGCAAAATGTTCCAAATTCAAAAGGTGTGTTTGATCAGTGATCTCAATATGTAAAATGTACATTTGGTAGAAGCAAAGAATCAGGCAGCACAGCCAACAATAACACTACCATCTTAGCTCGAGGAGACACAGAATGACAGTAGAGTTAGATAGAAGGTGATAGCAGAGCTTCCCAATCTGCTATACTGATAATCAAAGTAAAATGCACTGATTACCAACAAGTTTATCATTAGTTAGGTTTTAAAAATATTGTATTATCATACTTCTTTTTACCAAGTTAAACTGGTGCTACATTCATGTGAACATATATCATTATTAGTTGAGTGTTCCAATATTAAGTGCTTATTATTTTGCTCATTTACTGCAAACAAATATAGGAATGGTAAGTATTTGTTTCCTTTTGGTACTGGCTACTGTCTGAACTGTGGGTCTCTTGCACATGTAAAGTCCCAGATAAAAAAAAAAAAAAAACTCCTGTAAAGCACATGTGCATAGTGCAGTACAGTCTATGTTAACTATATGTGTGAAGTTTAAAAAAAATAAAAAATAAAAATTCTACTGAAGCACATTTGTCCTCCCAGTGGAAAATAGTGGTAAACTGCCAAAAATGTTTGTGCGAAAAACACATTCAAAATGATGCCCCGACTCAAACGGAAACTGAACATGCTGTGCGTGTGTGTGTGTGTGTGTGTGTGTGTGTGTGTGTGTGTGTGTGTTGTGCTAACACAATCTAAAAATGGCCCGCATTTTACCATGAACACAGCTGAATTCATCCATAGTTTATAAAACAGATGTTTAGATACATGCTGGGTGATTCAGTATGAAGGAGAAATCTAAAAGTCAGAAGCAGTAGGTTAGCAAGGCTGATTTTGAAAGACGTTACTAGTATCATTCATTCATTCACACATGATTAAATTAAAAAAGGAAAAGAAGGTTGCAAACCTGGGCAAAGTATTATTTGGAAATAATTGTCTGGTGTTTAAGTTAACTGTTTAGACAAAACTTTAAGCAGTATTTAAATTGTTAATTGAGCAGACAACCAATATAAGAAAGGAACATTTTCCAAATACTATTTGTCCCAGGCTTGATTAGGTGGAACACTGGAAATGAGGATGGAAATTTTGCTCGATATTGTTACCTTGTAAACTCTGGGTCTGCCCCCGGGTCCCCTGGAGAATGGCCGGCGCTGCTTCACCACCTCACTGGGGGGGTCATCTGATACTGATCGGCCATCCTGAGGGGCAGGATCTCCAAAAGAAGATAAACAGACTTATGATAAAATCCTGAAATCTACTGATAAGTTTCAAAAAGAATAGTCTCCTTCAACAAAAGGTGTCATGTAGAAAATAAAATAAAGACAAACTACAAGTAGATTCCAGAGGAAATGGCCCTGAACTATTAACTAATCACGTCAATTGCTGTGTTCTGGCCGATTATGTTAATTTGTGATTGTGTTTTCAAAATTATTTAAGATATTTACGTCAATCTTTTTGTAAACCTTTTGTTTTTGATGAAAAATTCTCTCACAGAGTAAGCAACAAAGCCAAATTAATCCATGTTAAAAGCAATGGTAATAAGTAAAGACATGCTGAGAGGTTTGATTAACAAAAACAAAGCTTCAGTCACCTTGGCTGCTAGCAGCAGCTACATTTGGCTTGACTGTTGGTTTATTCATCTTCTCCTTTTCTTCTTCTTCTCCTCCTTCTTCTTCATCTTCAGATTCAGATTTCAGCAGGCTGCTGTAGGACCGTGGTGTGATATTACGCAGGGACAGTTTCCTGACTCCAGGCTCCATCGAGGATGATTTCTCTCCAGCCCCTCCAAACCTCCAGTTTGCATCGTCACTGCTTGAGATGGAGGCTGATAACCTCCTTGCTTGGACTGAGAAAAAAAGATCCCCGTGATTAATTTCATTCACAGATTAAATATTTAGACATCCCGTTAAACTGGTGTAATTCCTGTTAACCGAGTGGATACTACAAAATTTGGTGAAATATTCACTCAAGTTAAAATGAGACACATACATTTCAATGGTCTGATGAAGCGCTCCATCTTCGCTTTCTCAATCCGCTCACACTTCCTATATCTAGGGGGTTGAGGACAGAGTTAAATGTAGTTATAAATCCAAAGGTAAAGTGCATGTGTACCCATCTATAAATGTGTTAACTGTTAAGAGCTGACTTGCCTTCATTAACTGGATTGTTTATTATGTTTACTGGAAAGAAATAAAAAGTATTTTCATGTTCCATGTTCAAAAATGCTTAACCTTCCAGTCTCAACTTAAACAATTTAGAACTCAATCTAGCAGTGTAAAATGGTTAAACAGAATGCACATATCACTGACAATACATGGTTCAGCACTGAGACATTTAACCAGGCATACATTTTCAAAGAGTAAAAAATTTAAACATATTTAAATAGATGATTTATTTATGCTGCCATTTCCTCTTGTCGACCTCCTGTGAGTGAGACATTGCCTTTGAAACATTTGCTAAAAATGTATATAGCTCACAGCTAGTGTGTGAAAAATGCATGTACAACACAGTAATCTCATACAGTGCAATAAGCCTACCCACCAGCTTGTGTCTGTAAAAACAACAATATGAATGTGTGATCAGGTTTAGCTTACATGCAACACTGTCGCTTGGTGTTGGGTCCCCCATACTTGGGCTTATCGAGGCAGTTGATACACTTTGTACAGTCCTCTTCTATCAAACAACCTTGGCAGGTTCCACAGCGCCGGGAACGGACTCCCCCGGGGGCATACTGACTCTGTATCCGTCTCTTTCTGAACCTGCGGCCCTTTCCCTTCCCCCTTCTACTCCTCTGCTGGATGTTTTCCTGAGACACAACCCACTGAGCCCTGCCCTGATCAGAGATGTCATCGTCATCATCTGCCATATCTGAAAGTGAGAGACAGAGAGGATGGGCAAAAGAGCTACAATAGAGATTTCAAACATCACTGCTTACATATCATGTGGGGGTGACATTTCAGTCTGCAGCAGACATTACAGGTCTAACTGCTGTGACTGAAGGTGCTAATATACTCATTTACTCATGCTTTGTCCAATAAGCAAACTTGGTTTCTACAACTACAGGCTACTAAAGGCTGCCTGAAGTGTTGGACATCTAGAAGTCACTCTAGGACAGAGCGAATGGATGAACACACCAGGCGTTTGTGACAAATTACTGCTGGTAGAAACTCCCCTACCTGACCTTTTAAAACTACTACAAGCAGATGTGAAATCACTTTGACAACCTTGTGCATCCCCCAGTGGTAATACTGTAGTGCCAGCTGGCAAAAACCAACTTCACACAGAAAAAAATACTCAAGAGGTGGTGACTTGTAATTTTAACCGAATATTGTAGCTGGAATAACCTTGTGTAAGGATCCGTTTTTTCCCAACGGCACTAGATATGTTTATTAGGAGAAAAAATTCAGGGCAGTGAGTCTATTTGTCAAACAACACTTCCTCACCTCATACTGAGTGATGCTCACTCGACCAGTGTTGGGTATAGCTTTCCAACAGCGGTGGCTAATCTGTGTATGACAAAAGATATTTTTGCTGGCAAATATTTTAGTTACAACTACATTGAGCTAACAAAGCAGTTTTTGCTTTGCTCAGCATCTTATGTTTGCCAAATACGGCAACATATTGCTGCTACAATGTAAAAAAAAAATTACTGTGCATCTCATTATACTGAGAAAATGTTCTCATTTTAATCTGATACTTTTTTCATTAAAACAAGAAAATTATCTCGTTATAATGAGATACTTTAGTGAGAAAGTACCTATTTCAGGGGCAAGGGGCTGATTTCCTGAATATGGTAGGCTACTGCTAAGATATTTAAAGCTTAACCAACTTTGAGATCTAAGATAAATTTACACTAAATTCTAGCTATAATCTATAATTGCCTGTATAAACCACAAGTCACTACTTATTAAGCAAGGAAGGAATTGATGTCAGTTTGTTTTATAGGCTAAGTCATGTGGAGGGTGTTGATGAGACAGAGGGTGGTGAGCTGAGGAGGTGTGCTCCACCCAGTCACTGCAACTCCATAATCTAATCCACATATGGGCGCAGAAAATAATGCATGAATGCACCTCATGAGCAATGATAAATGAAAAGAGATCATGTTACAGCATCATTGACAGCAGATAAAATCAGCATGCACGCTGCTGTCACTCACTTTAAGCTGTGGGCTCATGTCAGGGAGTATAAATGATATGATCCACTTCATCGGTGTGTGATATTATTAGATGCTTGTTTGGGCCATATATGTTCAATTTGTCGCTGCAATTACAAGGAGTATGTAAAATCTTTGGCCCACAGTTTCAAAGTCCTTAAACTATTTTGTTTGATGATAAAACTGTCATTATAACAAGAAAACTCATTTTAACGACGTAAAATATCTCATTATAACAACATAATTATTAAAACAATATGCATTTTCTCATTAAAACAAGATACTTTCTCATTATGAGATACACAGTAATTTTTTTCCCTCATGGCGGCAGCAATATGTCGTCGTGGCCAAAAGCCAAATATATATTTTAGGTGTGTTTATAACTGCAGAGGCTTAATTACACCAGTTTGAAAGAATAACACAGAACTTTATAGTTGAGAATTAAAAATATCCGATAATGATATGTTGGCTGATATTCATTTTAATATCAATCTCGCCCATTTATCAGTTGGTCTCTATTTTTGATTCATATTTTCTCTGGATCTTCCAGTATAAAACAATGTCTGATGTAATTAGCTGAATTAATGCCACCTGGGCTGGACCCAGTTGTGTGTCATAAAATGGATGGTTTAATGAAAAATGACTCATTTATATGAGTCTATGTTTCTTCTAAACTCAGTATTTGAGCTTCCTATACACTGTAGCAAACGCTCTGACTACTGTTTGCTGCAGGTCTGATGATCTGGACTGAAACAACAGCAGCACAGCAATCCTCCTTTTAATTTAAGTGTCCCAAAAGCCCATAACTTGATACAAAACATTGTTATGACTAACATTATTGCCTGCAGCAGGTACAGATGTTAAATGTAAGAATTTTCAATATATTCTAAAAGTCTTCTCTGAGGAAACAAAATTAAATGCTTTTCAAAACTTTCCAAGACATGCAGATACCATAAAGTGTGCGATTAGGTCCTTGTTCATTGAGGTCCTTCCATTTGTGTTGCGTTTCAACCAGACACTAACCAAGGAGAATTTGTTAACTACTGGTGCATTAAGTATATCTGTTTTCAATTTCAATACACTTCCTTCTTGTCATCATAAATCATGACTGCTCCACCTTCCATATTTTAATGCACCAAAGAACAAGGACACAGATTTGACTTTTCACATACAATGTAAATGTCATTTGCCACTACAAACAAATGATAGCACATTTTAGTAACTGTATATGGGTCATTTACAAAGTTTATACTGGTCAGAAACTCCTGCAACAGCTTAAGTATGTGTGCACATTTTGAACTTATTGATCTAAATTTTTTTTTTTACACATTTTGATTCTGCCTTAACATGCTTGAAATGTGAAATTATTTGTCCTTATCTTTGTTTACTAAACCAGAGTTAAAATCACTGTGCTCATACCTCTATATGCAGAGCCATCAGGAAGTTAATTTTTGCATTCTGCTTAAAAACAACGCTTGCAGATGCACTGTACCTTCTGGTGTGGGAGAAAATGTGATGCCCTCTCTCTCATGGAGTGGCAGGGCGCTGAGCCTGGGAATATCATCCGGCACCATGGCACGGGGCTTCCCCAGAGCCACTGCTGCTGCCCGACACACGTGTTTGATCCTCGGACCACCCAGCGGCTGCTCCTGCATACAGAAATATTTGGATATAAACAAATCATGGTAACATCACTTGTGATACACAAGTGAACCTGCCTGTGAAATGTAGTCTCAGATTACAATGAGAATATGATACAGTAGCCAAGATAAAGTTTAAAGTACAAAGTATAAAAGCCAATTCTTTAATAATGATAAAATAGAAAGAAGGCCAATATGCTTAATTCATAAGGTTATTTATTTCAAACAGGTTCCACAATGCTGGACTTTATTTAACCCATTTCCTGGTCGTTCATGTTGATAAAAAGTAGCAGGTGATGGTTTTTCACAGTTTTATGACCAAAATCGGTGGGTTTCCTTTACGCAGGACTCTCACAGCTCAACACATTTATTCTGTTTTTGACAGGTTTTTCTCATGAGCACCTGCACGGCACAAACAAACACAAGCAGCCTGAGTGTTACAGAGCATAATACACAGTGATACATCTAAGACATAACCGCAGATGGTTATAACAAATACAGCTTATATTTTTACAAAGAACAACACAAAAACATCTTTTCAAGTGTTACCTGTGGACTAATATCTTTGGGTGATACGACAACTCTTCTTCTCCTCCTCCTCCTTCCACTTACTGGCACTGATTCTCTGGAGCCCAACTATCGGTCCAGACAAAAAGGGGGAAAACGATGTTTAAGTAAGAGCTGCTGCAACATGTTGCCATACCTTTTGAAATTAACTGATTGATTTGATTTGATTTGATTTATTCTTTCAAACATGTAAAGACAGTCAATATGTCAACACACATAATTTCACACATATCCACAAATGCATTAACTGCCAGGTTAACTGCAATTTGACTTGAAAAGTTCAGACTGCAATATGAAGACCAAGCAAATGTTTCATGTACAATCCTGCCTTCATTTTTTCCACTAGAGGTACTGATTTTTCTTCCCCTTTTTATGTGTTTGTAATGTTACTGGGGGTTTTGTTATATTTAACTATCGGCAAATGCGATAATTAAACTGACTAATTAATTTATCATTTTGGAACTACTACCTTTGGAACTATGTACAATATGCAGTCATATACAGTCAGGTTCATAAATACTGGAACAATGATAAGGTTTCTGGCTTTTGGCCTCTGTACACCACCAAAACGAATATGAATTTAAACACTCAAGATGTGAGCAATTCAAAACTTCCAGCTTTAATTCAAAGGGTTTAACAAAAGTGTGGCGTTAACCATCCAGGAATTACAGCCATTTTCATACACACCCATTTTTGGTGACTCATAAGCAATGAAACAAACTAATGTAATTACAAACATAAGGACTGCCTTTAATACTTGGATGAAAATCCTTTGCAGTCAATGAATGCCTGAAGCCTGGAACCCATGAACATGACCAATGCTGGGTTTCATCCCTCGAGATGCTTTGCCAGGCCTTTACTGTAGCTGACTTCAGCTGCTGCTTGTTTGTGGGTCTTTCTGCTTTCAATCTTGTCTTCACTAAGTGAAAAGCATGCTCTATAGCACATGTGTCAAACTCAAGGCCCGCAGGCCACATCTGGCCCAGGGTACAGTTACATCCGGCCCGCGAGATAATTTTATACATCTTTTTTTTTTTAATGGCCCGGCGATATGAAGTGCCGATAACACAAACTACAAATCCCATAATGCAGCGCAACAGCTGCCTTACCGAATGATAGGCTACCTGCGATCAGTTCCGCGTCAATTAGGTCAGATCAATCAAGCGTCTGTTGATGTATACAACCCTAATTTCAAGTCAAAGCTGTCCCCTAACAATGGCCAAGAGAAAAGTTGATTCTGAAAACAGAGCCTTTCAAAAGCAGTCAGAGGCTGAATATATGTTTACTGACATTGTCGGTAAACCCGTGTGTCTTATTTGTGGAGCTAATGCGGCTGTAATTAAGGAATATAACCTAAGAAGGCACTACGAGACAAAACATTAGGACAAGCTGAAAAATGTAAATGCAGAACAGAAGCTACAGAAGGTAGAGGAGTTGAAGAGGAATCTGACATCACAGCAGACGTTTTCACCAAAGCTAAATCACACAGTGAAGCTGCTGTGAAAGCAAGTTTTATTGCAGCAGAGGAGAAAATCAGCCCTGCCATTTACCGAGGGAGAGTTTCTGAAGAGCTGCATGATGAAAGTGTGCAACGTCTTGTGTTTGTAAATGTAAGCCTTAGCAGAAATACGGTTGCTGATTTTAAGTTCAAGTTTATTTATTTTGGAATAATATTGTATCCTGTCTGTTTCGATTCATATTTAAAAAAAAAAAACAAAAACAAAAACGTTTAGTTTTAGTCTGTTCAATCAATTTTTATCCTGTTCGGCCTGCGACCTAAAGTGTGCTTTGAGTTTTGGGCCCCTGTGCGATTGAGTTTGACACCCCTGCTCTATAGGGTTGGGATCAGGTGACTGACTTGGGCAGTGAAGAATATCCCATTTCTTGGGCTTCAGAAATTCTTGGGCAGCTTTCACTGCATGTTTTGGGTCATTATCCATCTGCACTATGAAGCAGCATCCTATCAATTTTGGAGTATTTGGCTGAACCTGAGCAGAGAGTATAGCCTTATACGCTTCAGAATTCATCTTGCTATTTTTACCAGGTCTTCAATCAACACCAGTGACCCAGTTCCATTGGCAGCAATAGAATGTTCTTTCCTTAATATTTATTGTCTTATTGTGGATATTTTGAGAACAAGAAATCTTGTTTACCTATTTCTATACAGATGTGAACCTTTATTCTTACCTGTGATAACTTGAGCTGCTTCTGCTGATCAATCTTGATGAGCTGGACTTTGGCTTTCTTCAGCAGGTGGAGCATCCTCTTATTAGCTCCACTGAGACCAATTCGATGGCTGGGCCCACTGACTTCTAAAGCCTCCTGGCTGTCCACAGCCATGCTTTCTGCTTGATCTGTGCCAAACAACATGAATAAAGAAACTCTGGTTAGATGATATACAAATAAAGGCTCTGCTATTGTAGGGCAACCCACTGAAAATGCACCTATAAACAAACTAAAATCAACTGTGTAGTCCCATTAAAAATAGGCAGTTAATACTGTTGCCATTATCTTCAAATGACATACAAGAGGGTGCTTCCACATCAGTGTTGACCACCACAGCTAGTTTCCTCACAACACCAGGAGAATCCATCTCCTCCATCATAAGCTTCGGCCTCCGCCTCTTTCTGCCATGAGAGGTCAAACTGTCACCATGATGCGTATAATCCCCCTGAGTGTCAGGTCGGCATCTCTTTTTCTCCGCCAGTTTCAAAGTCAGTTTTTTGAGGTTTTTGTATAACTCTACATGGCTTGTGCCTGGACTGGGCTTTGATGAAAACTCTGTCCCAGCAGACAGGCTGTCGACAACAGATAAAGAGTCGCTGTCTGACTGTAACAACTTGCCATCATAACCTGACTCATGAAGTGATGTGCTCGGTTTTCCATCCTCTCTCTGTTGACTCTTCAGCCATGTTGTCAGATGGCCCTTTGGAAAGGGAATTATGTCCTCATCCGAGAACCTCTTTGGAGCTTTAATAACACGAGAGGACCGTCCACTCGTTACGGGATAGGAGGAGTCACTGGAGCACAGCTTGACTTGTTCAGAAGACGAACTCGGTTCACCTTCCAATGGAGTGATTTCCTGACCTTGCAGCTGCTTCTCGCTTCCATCCTGTGTCGGTGTGGCAGGAACAGGTTCTACTACATAGGTGTAAAAAACATGCTTAGTGCGATTACGACACAGTTTTGGACCTTTAATGGTTGTTCCTGCCTTTTTCCTATACCCATACAAAGATTTATGATGATGTCTTCGCTTCTTAGAGGATTCTGCGGATTTACATTCCAGTGGCATTGCTGCTTCTTCTCCACTTTGGGCACCGGCCTCAGCTCCAGCCTCAGGAGAGGTACCCATACCCTTAGCTATTTTCTTTCTCTGCCGTTTGTGAAAGGATGTCAACGACAGAGCAACTCCTTGAGCTGCTCGTCTGGTGTGGCCAACTCGAAATCCCCCCATTCGCTTTGCAGTTTTCTGTGGCTGGGCTTGTTCTGTGTCTGAGTCCACTGACACCTCACCCTGTTCTTTGACCTTCAAAGCTTTATCTGAGCATTCAGCTGCTATCAGAGCACTCGCCAACTTCTCTTGCTCGGTGCCACCAGCTGAGGTAGTGACTGGTTGGTTTTGCGTGCTGCCTGAGTCTGTTCTTTCTCTTGATTTAATGATAATGTCAGCTGATGCTGTACCTCTCTGCCTACCTGAGGCCTGCTCATCTGAAAGTTTGGCTTTCGCAGTGACAGCTTCCTGCTTGCCATGCAGTTTAATTACCACCCTGGGTATTTCTTTGACTTTTACTGGTCTCTTCTTAACACTCTGGTCTTCTTTAGGAATCCTCGGTACAATTTTCCCAATTACAGCTGATTTTGAGGCCTTTGGTATAATTTTTCCAATGAGAGGCTTTGCTGCTTGAGAAAGGTCTGAAACTTGAGGAGCTTTTGCTCGACTAAATGACGACGACCGAGGAACAGTGCCAGATGTTTTCTTTGAACAGACTGTTGTGGTCCCAAATCCAGTGAAATCTTCCTCCTGGAGAAAACCAGAAAGTACAACATTTAGTTGATAAAAAAATTATTCAAAGTACTGATATGAAGGCCAAAAACATACAAACAACAACAACGTATAATATTAAAACTTAACTCACAATTAACTTCCATAAAGGTAGACAGGAAATAAATTACAGATGCAGCATATCTTAAATGACCACCATTTTCATACTTTAAAGGATTTGTGAAAGCAATAATGAAGATAACAAAACAATGAACTGCTTTGCCTCCTTAGTATTTCCTTTTAAACAGTGACTATGAATAGGTTTGGGAGGTGCTCAGGTTTCTGGGTGTGTGGGAGGATCACAGTAGCACAGCTGCCACCTTCTTGCTATCATGCAGTTTGTGGAGTTGATCTGAAATTGCATCCAAAATTTGTGGCACTATGGAACTCAAACAAAGAAGATACCTTTGCATATTCAATAAATAATTTTAATGATTATTCTGCCACTTCTAAGGTCATTATTTGATTATCAGGTATTAGCCCTACTGAAATTACAGCTCAGCATCTACACTGCTCTCCATTGTTACTCCAGTATTGCATCAGTATTCCGCTGGGGCATTAAATGAAACAAATTTTGGTTTCAGTCTCTGAAAAATAACTCAGCAGATTTTCTACCTGTGCACCATGTCTCTGTGCACATGTAATGTTTAGTAAGATACAACCATTTTTAATAAAATGTAATAATCAAAAACTAACTGGAATGCATCACTTCAGCCATTTAGTGATGTTGAAAAACGGTTCATTTTAGAGTATCTCATCTTAAAGAGGGATGTTTGAATACGGTTAGTTAGTGAAAACACATACTCTACCCAATAGCTATCAAAATTTAAGAACCTTTGAACACATTCAGCCTCCAGCATTCTCTAATTCAGGTACCTCTTTAGACACACAAATTGCACACTATTGCAGATTAAGACACCTAAACTTGGTCTCCAATTACTCACATTGATCTTGATGTAAAAACACAACTCTGTAGATTTGTCAGATATGATATCTATTCCACGGTGCTGCAAAGCGAGTGTGTGGCACTAAGTAACAGGTGGTAGCCCAGCTGAGCAGCATCCACAAGCTTTAGTATGAGCCATGTGACTGTTACAACTCATGCAGAAGGATTGCATCAGTGACGTCCGACTGATGTCAGACGGTAAAGCCCCTGCTCAGTACATTAAATAATATGGTTCGATCCAATTCGGGCTTGTACCATTATTGCCATTTAGCCAGACTGGTGCTAAAAAGAGTCCACCTGACTTCTCAGAAAAACAAAACAAAACAAAACAAAAAAAACAATATGAGCACACATGTTGACAAATCTGAATCCTCTGTTTGTGGTATAAAATCACTGTCATTTTATTAAGGATTTAAGGAACAATTAGTCAATCAAAATAAAATTGATCCGATGGAGTTCTGAAAACTGATTTGTTTAACTCACTGATTAAGCAACAATGACAAAAATTCATGAGCTGGTTCCTCATATGTGAGCATTTGCTGTTTTCTTTGTCTTAAAGGTTGCAAATTTAATAGCATTTAGTATTTGTATTATTGACTGACTAAAACAAGCATGTTTGAAGATTCTGTGATGGAGCTTTTTATCCATTATTATCTGATATTATTTTACCATTTGTTTTAATTTATAACTGTATTTCTAGGCTTCTGACAATGTTGAATATTCACCTGAATGTACGAAGTTACAAATAGAACTGTCATATTCTCATACACAACAGGCAACAAGACCTGAAGTCCACCATGTCAATGTATCACACCTGCAGGTGGAATTACACTTTGCAATATCTTATATTTGTGTCTTCTACCTATGCAGTCAACTTCAGCTGCAGCATACAGGCCATTAATTGTGAACCCTGCTCTTTCTTTAAAAAAAAGGCCGAACTTAAAAATTCAAGCAGGAAAAATCTTCTTATTTAAATCACTCAACAGTGAGAGGGGCATATGGACGATAGAACTGACTTATGTTTATAAATATAGGCTGTGCAAAATTGAGTTTTAGAAAAGTATTCTGCAAGATATTTGCGAGTTTGCGCCATATTGAGGTTTTTGGTCACAACCACTAGATATAGTCCGTTTCCCTTCCAGTTACATCCCACGTCAAAACACCGAGGAATCAGCTGACAGCTCTAACATTGAGAGTGGGCTGGCCAACTTATCAGCGGCGACGTTTTACCTACGACAATATTAGCAGCCTGTGGATGTCAGCACAAGGTGGGAACTTCAACTCTCCAAAATATGTCAGGGGATAAATAAACAAAGACATCCACAAGAGAATGTATCCACATTTATCATACCGCCAAAGTTTCCGCCTAATGTCCTTTTCATGCAAACAAACTCTGCTCGACAAACAATGATCTCTTGGGTGTTGTAACTTGAGCAATTTCAAATCGGACAATGAATTACTAATATCTACAGAAGCAATCGGACTGCAAATATTCACCTAACTAACATTATCTACCAAATCGAAGCATATCCTGCAGACAGACGGCTAACTTATTAGCAATGTTCACAAGCTAACTAGGTTTAGCTGCGCGTTAGCTTGAATTATTTCAGTAAGTGAGTTAACTGTTTTAAATGTCGTTATTTTAAGCAAACTGTATTGTTACCCAGCTAGCTGACATGCTACGGTTAGCTTATTCACCTCCTCACTGTTGCTGGAATCAAAGCCCGCATCTTTCTGTCGCCCATGCTTCTCCGCCACCCCGAGCAGGCGCAGCAGGGACGGATCTTCGCTCAACGCAAGGCCGATGTTGACAGGCCTCGGCCCTCCGGGAGCCCGCTCCCCCTCGTCCGAGCCCGGCCGGCCTGGGAAACGAGCCCGGGCCGGCGCTTGGGTGTTTAAACCCGCAACCATAGCGGGAGATGATAATCCGCCTCCCGATGCCGCCATTATTTACTACAACAACACGGACGGCGCCCTGGCAAAGGGTAACTACAGCGATGTGAAAGAAGCAAGATGGACTGCTCCGAGGTAAAGGCGCGAGATAGTAAGAAACAACTAGTGCATCATGGGAAAACGAACTTCGCCTTCCCAAGATTCCCCTACTTCGATACAATGGGCGACTTCGCTTGAGGAAGGCATGTCGGTTTAGGTATCAACAGAGGTGGTTTACCAACGGGGAAACAATTATTTTCGCAATCGATACATTAGTTACTGAGGAAAATAACTGACGTATTGATAATGAAAATTGTTCCACGCATAATATGTAAGAAAACAGTGAAAATGCCCATCATTTTTGCTTGATAGGTTTTTCTATGACCAACGTTCAAACTCTCACTATTACAGTATAATAGACATAAAAGAATACTGCTAGGGGCCATTCCGCTTATTTACTAATTGCAGCCACCGGTAAAAGCTTGAATATTGGGCTGCATTTTACAATTATTTGTTCTCATTGCTATATCATTTGCATTATTGCGTTATGTTTGGGGATTTAAAATCTATAATAATGCAGCATACTGATATAGACTTGTAAATCGTGACATGACAAATATTTATGAATTAAATGTAGTTATGTAAAACATACATAATTTCACTCAAATATAAATTAGTGTATGGTAGCATACTCAAGAAAGTAGTACCTCAAAAGCCAACATACTGTATGTACAGCAGTTGAGCAAATATTTGTTACATTCCACCACTGAACATCACAGATAAAAACATTTGACAGTCATTGCGGTCAATAACAAATCTAGCAACATCTTGACTAATTATGTCAGAAACAAGTCATTCTTTTTATATCTAAAATTACTAAAAGTTGTCTCTATACTCTACCCACTACTGGCTACACTGATGGTGTAATAAACTTGACATATTTGACCATTTTCTACTTTAGTAAAGCACTTTATAGTTTGCCTCTTGCTCACTTGCACATATTCAGACACGGTGACAAACAAAGACACCACCGAAAGTACTGTTTAATGCCACATTTACTTAAGAGAAAATAAGACTCAAACATCACATCCTTAAAGTCCCACAGGACAACATTTATACATGTTCCATTTTTCAGGCTGGGATTTTATTATGTTTGTGACCTGCAGTAAATACAAAACAGTACGCAAGTACTTTATAATGAATACAAACAATTTCAGGTAAAACAGAGGTAATGTCATATGGACAGCTAAAAAAATGAACTGACATGAGGTCATGGTGGACTTAAATCACAACTAGAAGCACTCAGAGAGCGCAGAACTCTGCCAGGGCATTGCCACCCCCCACTATAATCTTATCTTGCAATGGTAAAGAATCCTTCAAAAAAACGAACAAGACCCTACCCTACCCTAAATAAAAAAAAATGGTAACAATACAATCACTTAACTGAACAGTGTAAGGTTAAGTTGCAGTCTTTTCCCCATTTACTATCTTTTCTCTGCTACCTCTTCTCCCCCAGTGTGGGTGTTCTGGTGGAGCTTTAGAGCCCTCTCTCGGGCAAAGCTCTTTCCACAGGTGGGGCAGACGTATGCGTAACAGTGAGCCCTGGCAACGTGTGCTCTGAGCTGCTCAGGCAGAGCATAGCTCGTGTCACACTCTGTGCATGCAAGAGTCTTGTGAGGGGGAGGCCCATGGTCTGCCTTCCTGTGTGCCCGCAGGGCTGCAACAGAGGGGAATATGAGGTCACAATCTTCTTCAGGACATGGGATCTTAAGCTGTGGTTGCAGCTCATTGGAGGAGTATTCCTTTGTCAAAGAGCCATCATCTCCTTTGCACCCCCCTGCTTCATTTTCTTGTTTGATCTTCTTGCCGTCAACCATCGTTACCTGAGCAGCGTACTTGGGTTTACGACCACGTTTTTTGGCTGGTAGCTTAATGTCACAGTTTGTATCACTAGCAAATCTTTCCTGGTGCTGCAGGAGCTCTTCTTCTGTCTGGAAACCACTGCCACATTTGCAGCACTGATAAGTGTTGACATCATCAGCCACTACAGGACACTGTGGGTGCACTGCGATGCGATGGCTACGAAGTCGTGAAGGACTAGGAAACACGGCGCCACAGTCCCTGCAGGGACACCGTCGCTCTATGCATTCATGTCGTCTGTGGTGGTTCCGCTACAAGGCAAATACTCAAAGTCAAACAAACTGTACTGCATACATCCAGCATAAAAAAGGCTTACATTTAGTCTCCTGTGCCCTTACCTCTGTAAAAGTAAAGAAGCTTTTCCTGCAGTAAGAGCAGCGGAAGGGCTTCTCCTCTCTGCTGTGTGTGGCCTGGTGTTTACCGAGCTCCTCAGAGGAGGAAAAGCTCTTTTCACACTTGTAGCAAGTGAAGGCGATATTATTCTGCAGTTGGAACAGAAAATTAGATAAGTATCAAAGAAATTTTTAGGGTTTTCTGTATTACAATTTCTTCTCTAGTATGGTTACACAGTTCATTCATTTTGTAAATAACTTTGATGATGGGATGGGACGAGAGTTTGGTTTGAGCTGGCAAAAATAACCTTCTAAAGTAAGGTTTTCTCTGAGTTAAGATTTAATTATTTTAAAAGTGTTACCCATACATAACTTGTCCAACAGAGAAAACACTGAAGGAATAACTGTCATCATTTAATGACAAACACATCTATCAATATACTATCTCATTTTCTTCTGGATTCGTAAATGTTGGAAGCAGACACAAGAATACAGTATTGGCTGACAAATAACTATTTCATTCATCCATTATCTATACCACTTATCCTGAAGAGGGTCACAGGGGGCTGGAGCCTCTCACCCACCAGTGTCAGCTGGGTACACCCTGGACAGGTCACCAGCCTATCACAGGGCTGACACTTGGATACAGACAACAACACACACACACACTGACTCCTACAGGCAATTTACAGTCACCAGTGAACCTAAGCTGCACATCTTTGGACTGTGAGAAGAAGCTGTTGTACCTGGAGAGAACCCACGCAGGCACAGGTAGAACATGCAAACTTTGCACAGAAAGGCGCTGGGTCGGACGGGACTCAAGCAAAGATAATCAAACTTTACAGGTTCCAGCTTTGCAAATGTAAAGATTTGCTACCTGCTGCAGCTGCTGTGTGTACTGGTCCCGATGACTCTTCCTTATATGTCTCTCCCTGGCTTTGGAGTCGCAGAAGGTGATGAAGCACTGAAAACACTGCAAACTCTCATGCTGATCTGCATCACAACAACATGACAAATTGCTTATTACTTAAAACCTAGTAAAAAAATGACTACAGGGCATACAACCCTGCCTGTCTACTGTGACTGTTGTGAAATCATACTTTGGTAAATAGAATTAGGCCACAGCACTACAACCTGTATGAACTACGTATATAAATGTTATCTTACAGGACTCAGACTTGATCTCCGTTGAGGTGGACTTCATCTCACTCCCAACAATGACTTGCTCTATCTTCAGCATCTCCATGCTTTCACACACTACCGGGCCACGTGGAGCTGTAACACAGGTCAGGACCACATTGTCTGTATACACATGAACACGCATGCCAGTGAGCAAAGCTAAACTGACCCCAAGAGATCACTGCAATGACAAACGTGAGGCTAGCTTTAAGTTAACCCTTGTAGACAGCATCGAGATGTCGCGGACAATTAAAGATAGCCAATTGAAAGCAAAGTAAATTAAATACATACATCTTCGGCGAAAAGCTGGGTTTTATATACTTAGGCCAAAACAGTTATTAAGAATAAAACAGTTAACATTAGGCCTGAGCCATTTGACGGACAGATGGGAGAAACGAACGCTGGTCGGCATGCACATCTGCAACCAAGAGCAGGGGAGTGCGCGCACATACTTACATTAGTGTTGCCTTTGAGCCTATGTACTTTAAATTTGCATGTGTATGAGAAATCTGGATTAATTGTAACTTAATACTCTGCAATCAATTTAAAATTTGATCAGTTTCTTAGTAGCGCCCACTGAAACGAAATGACTCCGCGCTGAATAGTGTAATATCACGTGACATGGGAAACGATGCCCAGAGTGGCTGTGAGGATGCTGACTACGACGTTATCGCGAGATTAAAGAAACATCGCCTGGCAAGTACTTCAATAGTGGCTTTTAATCAATTGCAGGAGAAAAATACTCAACGCACAAATGTAATTATAAACGGTTAAACCATGCATAATGTGATTGTATGACTATATGAACTGTTGCACACTGTTTCCTTATGACAAAATTAAACAAAGCATGAGGCCTGAGTTGTCTGCAAAAAAGAGCATTTTTTATGTTAAAAATATGACCGTTAGCTACATCTCTTTTCTTTTTTTTTAACACATAATAAAAAAAAGTACAAATACTAAATACAAAAACAAAAGTCTAAACAAAAAAGCCTGATGTCCAAACAAGAAGTCATGTGCTAATTAAAGGTTTGTAGAACTTTATTGATAACTTTATCAGACAAGGATGACATCACTCAATAATGAGGTGATAAGACAGTACATTAGCATTTTAAATAATTTGTGATTGACAAGTACAGGGCTAGGGGCATATGCGGAAGATGGACAAGTTCAAGGAGTAAACATTTTAAGCCCTGGCCTGCTGCTGGTATTCAGCAATCCGGCTTTCCATCACAGGCCTGAAGTGTCTGATCAATCCCTGAGAACACAGAGGAAAGAACAGAGTTATCTCTTTTGGATTAAAGAGTTTGTAGTAGAGACTATTACTATAGGAGGCCTGGTAGAGAAAAAAAAAGTTTAAATTGATGATTGTCTTTTTTCATGTTTGTTCATTCATATTTAGGACCTTGACATTTAGATCAAATTAAGAATGCTAAATCTCAAACTATAAACAAGGTCTTTCCCAGACAATTGTTTCCAGAGTTCCCCAATAATTCTTTTAATGATCCTGTTAGTATGCAGATTTATTATGACAGTAGAACTGTTTACCTGCACAGGCCATGCCGCACCATCACCCAGGGCACAGATAGTGTGTCCCTCAATCTGCTTACTAATCTCCCAAATCATGTCGATCTCTGCTGGCCGTGCATCACCACGTACAAAACGCCACATCATCTTGTTCATCCAGTCCACTCCTACAGGAAGCACACAAACCAAAAAAATTGTAATAATTTTGAACTTTATTAATGATATTACAAGACAATGAAAAACCTTGTGACCTAGCGTGTGACAAATACTTGCCTTCTCTGCAGGGTGTGCACTGGCCACAGCTCTCATGCTTATAGAACTCAATCAGGCGGGCAATGGCTCTGATTATGTCAGTCTACAACAACAAAAACATGCCCCAGTATAACAGATGAATGCTGGTTTCTTTAAGAATGGTGATTAACTATGCTGCAGAGCCAACAAACTTACAGATTTGTCCATAACAATGAGAGCCGCTGTTCCCAGGCCAGTCTGAGCTTGGATGAGGCCATCAAAGTCCATCAGCACCTCTTCACACACTTTCTTAGGAATGAGGGGTGTTGAGGAGCCACCAGGGATTACAGCCAACAGGTTATCCCATCCACCACGCACTCCACCTACAGATGTTTATTTCAATTAGGTAAAAAAAAATCTTTTCAGTCCCTGACCCCTTGGCACAGATGCACATGCAGATTAACGAAAATGATGAATGTAGGTTGTCCCTTTTCAAAATATGAATTCATTCCAGGGGTGGGGGTTTTTATTAATTCAGAGAAAAACAGTTCTTCAACAGTAGTAAACTTTTTTTATGACAAAATCCTGTAACTCAAACATCTCAGTCCAACTCTTAATTTGATACAGATGTTGTCTCAAATAATGAGGCAAGTACACTCATTATAACATCAGTGTCGTATTACATACCTGCATGCCGCTCGATAAGATCTTTTAGAGGAATAGACATCTCCTCCTCTACAGTGCAGGGGTGGTTAACATGACCAGAGATGTTGAAGAGCTTTGTGCCGGAGTTTCTCTCTCTGCCAAAGCTCAGAAACCACGATCCTCCCCGACGACAGATGGCAGGCGCCACAGATACCGTCTCCACATTGGCGACAGTTGTCGGGCAACCAAACACACCTTTGGGACAGCAGCAGAAAGGATGCAAACATTTCAGAGCCGCTTTTATTTGGAAAGAGCAACACATATCCAGCAGTAGTCCACTGTGGGTCAGATCGCAGTTACAGTAGGATACACACTAAGGACTAATGCAATCAATATTTTCTCCAACCTCCTCTGCCCAGCTTCCCTTGCTTTCCTTCCAGGGACTCAATAAGTGCAGTCTCCTCTCCACAGATGTACGCTCCAGCACCACGCATCACAAACACATCAAAGTCATAACCGGAGCCACAGGCGTTCCTTCCAATCAGCCCAGCAGCATAAGCTTCATTAATAGCCACCTTGGAACAGATATTTGGATTTCCCAAGACGCATGTTAATGCCAGGTCTGAACAGGGCCTCAGTTACTTCTCAGAATGTGTGCTATGATTTGTACCAAAATTCCCCAGTTTCTTTTGTTGTTGTGCTGCTGCATCTTCAGTTAGGTGGGTGCATGTTCTGTTGTGTATATTGTTTGTATTTCCCTACTAATTTTAGCAAGATTCTGGAAAAATAAGACTGAAAGTTGTATTTTCTAAATTTATACTGTGCAATTGCAAACATTCATAGTGTAAAACATAGCACATAAACTGATCCTTCAGTCATTTTACACATTGTCATTTTAACGCTTAAATATTAGGCTTCACTCAGTCCACTTTCACCTGCAGGTTGGACGACTCATTGTAGAACTCTCCTCTGATATAGATATAAGCAGCACGCGCCCCCATGGCCCTCCCAGCAATCAGGCAACCCTCCACCAGCTTGTGTGGGTCATTCCTCAAGATCTCCCTGTCCTTACAGGTGCCAGGCTCTCCCTCATCTGCATTCACCACTAGATACTTTGGCCTAAAGGAAGAAATTAGAAGTGGGTTAAACGGGATACAGAAAATGTCCTTTTTTGACAGCTCAGCCACTGTCATGGATGAGCCTAAATAATCTGAATATAGCTTCTGCCAAAACTGATGTTTGGCTACAGAAGGCATTCAAAAGCATCCATCTAAATGTCAGTGCGTGCCAAACCAATCGAGATGAATCCAGCTAGGGCCATGACTGCATATTTTAAAGCTGCACTAGTCTGTTTTTAGATTTCATGCCCTAAAGTGGCAACAGGAAATGATGATTGCAAGACACCATTTAGCAATTTAGTAATGGCTTCTTCCTTATGAAGAATACAGTTGTTGCCTTTGGGGCATTTTGGTCTAAATATCAAGCTGACTGATATATAAAGATGTTACAAGAATATGAATCAGCATTAACTGCACCAACTGTAAGATCTGGCAACTTTTTAATGACTGATTGTCAAAATAATCATCAGTTCAATAGGTTTTCCCGGATAACCATGGCCTAAAATTATTTTGAGGAACTTGTGCAAATTAGAGAATAGCATGACAATGTTATATGACCAACAACAGAATATCAAGCAAAAAAGGCAGAATATCTGTCTGTCTCCTCACTGACCTGCCATCGCTGGGCTTGTTCATGAAGCCCCACTTCATACCAGTAGGGAAACCAGCTCCACCTCTTCCACGCAGGCCAGAAACCTTGACTTCATTGAGGATCCAGTCGACTCCCTTCAAAAGGATCTCCTTAGTTTTGTACCAGTCACCGCGTTTCAATGCACCCTTCAGCCTGAAACACAAATAGGTGGAGTAGGTGAGGAGTGTGTTCTTATTTTGCTATATACATGACTAACAATGTTTTAATCCAAAAACTACTGCTGTTAGCTCAAACACATGCATAACTGGGATTTTTCTTTTACAGCTCATGACAATATTATTTATTGTAAATGCAGATCCATCAAATGAATTTATGTTTATACTTGGTGTTACCTCCAGTCGTGGCGCCCATAAAGGTTTGTGAAAATTCTGTCCTCATCGGCCAGTGGTCCATATGTTGTTTTCTTAGGAGGACTCTGGAAAAATAAGGCATTCACAGAAAAATTTTAACTTTGTAGTTAACATTTAAATTTTAGTTTGATGTTAGTTTTACTGAAATATAGCCCACACACCTGTGCTGTGCTGTTGAGTCGTGTGATAGCAGTCACTCCACCTTGACTGACAACAGCTGGAGCACGTGCCACTCCGCTCACTACTGCTCGAGACAAGGACAGCATCCTTCCTGTAGGGAGGAGAGATAGTAGTGTGGCATGAGATTGTACAAGTTAGTTTAAGTTACTTTAGTTTCAAACAGTGGACAGTAGAGTAAGTTTCTCTGTAGCCCCTAAAGAATAACATGAAAATATGCCATATGTAGTAAAGCTTTTTTAAATCATGAAACACTGTTATCATGCTGTGGGATTATTTACAACACTAGTGCTGAATACTGAACAGATATTGAGCAAAAACCGAAGAGTGCTAGCTGAAAATACATGTCACTGATTTTGATTTTCCATTAACTTAACGTTAGCCTTATTAACCAATCACTTCAATAAGTTATATTTCACAACTACGGAACTGGATTAGTAACATTAGATGCCCTAAAATAAGCTTATCAAGTGACAACAATGCATGTTCATTTTGGTAGAGCTGTAATATTTTTTTAGCTCATGAATAGTACCAAAACAAGACCAGTGGAGTGAGGCGACACTAACGCTATTTCTGCAGCAGACGCATTTTATTTAAGCACAATTTATACTGGATTGTCTTTTTTGTGTCGCGAAGAATGCATGTTTGAATGAACCAACGTTACTTTTCGTCAGTGGAAAAGCTTCAACAGAGATCTGTGCAACTTCTTAAACGAGGTTATGTCAGAGGTGTTGAGAGTTAGCGTTAGCTAGCTAGTTAACGAACCGCCTTCACTGCGATCAATCTTAACACTCCAAGTAACACACTTGTAAATAAATGTAATGGTTATGGACAAACAAGGGCTGTTGTTTAGGGGTGGGATCGTGTACACGCTGTCAAATGTCTGGGAGTATTCGTTTATAAAAAGTGTTGTAAACGTTCTCACCCCTACTCTTGTCGCCTATATGAGATGGTAGGAATAACGTTATACACTGACCTCCATAGTCTATCTTTGCTAATTTAGCTAGCTGTTAACCTTGTGATGTCAAGATAAAAGCAGCGGATTCACGGCGCGGCATATATATATATATCTGCTACCAACAATGTACACATTAATTCATTGATAACGGCTATTACATTAAAAGCACTGAAACAATTAATGATTTAATACCAGTTAGCGTTCCAAGTTTAAGAAACGTAGACAGGAAGTAGACGAGCACATGACCCGGAAACACACAACAACTACTTCTTCTTCTTTATTTAGATATTAACATTTATTTATTTATTTATTTGTTTGTTTATTTATTTATTTAGGTTAGTCCCTTCTAATAACTCAAACTCGGTAACACCATTGCAGTGCAGTGAAGGAGTAGTGGGTGGGATTCACTATGTTCCTGCTTTTTTGTAGGAATAATATGGCAAAAACACATTACCTGCTAAAATTATATCCAGCAAATCTTGTCTTAATTTAAAAAAGACTTTTAATATAGTTCAATTTAGCTCTCTTCAACCAGCTCTAACACAAAAATTCTACAATTAGGCCTATACACATTATGGCATCAGCAATAGTCATTCAAAAATATAATATATAACAGAATATCACTCACAAGTAATTTTTTCTTGGACTATGGACTTTGAAACTTCAAGTAGCCTCCAGGCCTACCTGTCAACACTTTTGTAGCCTACATTTACTTAAGTAGTCTTTTGAATGCATGACTTTTACTTGTAAAAGATTATTTCATACCTTTACTTCAGTAAAAGTTCAGAATCTTCTATAAACTACAGACAGTTATATTGATTATAATCTTTGACACCATAATTATGCAAACGTCAAAATTAGGTATCCCTTAATACTTCAACACTAAAATTCAGATAATATGTTAATGCTGTTGCTTTTAATAATACACAGAAATATGTTAATATATAATAGTCACATTTCCTGGGATTTTTTTTCCACAAAAAAGTTGTTTTGTTTTGTTTTGTTTTTTGCATTGTGATACAACTTTTTTACTTCAGTAGAAGGTCTGGGTATGTCTTTCATCAGAGGTGTGTCTGTGTCATCATAAACAGCTTTATCATCTTCAAAACAAACAGTATAGGCAAAAATACATTTTCTAAAATTTATGTTTAAAGGACAGAATTATTTATATTTACCTGATATTAAATAGTATAATAAGGATTGTTAATGATAAATTTTAAATAATGAAAAGTGATATCAGCATTTGGGCTAAAATTAAACAAATTCATGTGATTATTTCTGTCATACTCTATCTTTTTATAAAATGGACATTTTATAACCAAAGATATTTTGTCCCTGCATCAAATTTACTTGTAAGTAATAAAAGATGACTAACATATATTCAAATGACACATTTATAATTCAGTAGCTAATTCTTATCTGCTTTTCAAAAATTTATAAAAAGCCAATTGTACATTTGCATATAAACTGCCAGCAGTAACTAAAAGTAAAACAGTGCATTTTAAAAGGAAACTGAGTAACTTAGTCCATGTGTGGAAAAAAATCTAATAGTACTGGATACTAAATTGTAGAGAAGCAAGGGTAGATTTTCCTTTATGATTAAATAAACAACTTTATATGTGAGTCAATGTGGCCATTAAAAGTGTGATGTATAACTGTGCACAACCTGTCTGTGCAGGTGGAATTATTACATCACAGCAGCTTATCCTCAGTGAACATTGGTATTAAACCCTCACTTGATGCAACCCGGAGACCATCAGAAAGCTGCATGACACATCGCCCAGCTGGTGCTCCTCTATGCGTCCCGTATCCTGTAAAATTGACCCGATGGATAAACTGCAACCTCAGACAGCGTAGATACAAATGAAAAATGATTCTTAAAGCAGTATTTGCAACTGCAAAAGCTAGTGCTACCATTGGTTAAAAAAAAAATTATACAGTGAATCTAACATGGAAGGTTTACAAATATCTAAAACAACATGATCTTATATTTAGCTTATTGAGGTTCAAGTACAGAATACCAAAATGAAATTAATGTAAGGTGCAATATTTAAGTGCAAAGTTATGTGTTAATAAATACAACTGAGGGTCTTCATCATCACTGAGGGCTAATGTCAACAAAATTCAGTAAAAATTACATTGAAGATTTCTTTGCTGTGTGGTCAAGATCAGTCAAAGTGTGACAGATAACCTCAACATTTCTGGCAGGAGTGTCTCTCTTTTGGTATTTATAAAGTGACACTTCTGGGGGAGGCTGATAACCAGGTCTGTGAGCAACCCGGTCCAGTCGGTCCACAGCCACACTCTCAAAGGCCCTCCTCATCAGAGGGTGCTCCTCCAGGACCTCGTTAAAACTGTCCACACTCAGAGAGTAAAGGCGGCAGTAGGTGTCTGCGCTCACGCTGGCTGTGCGCCGCCCCCGGGTTAGCAAGCAGATCTCTGAACCAAGCAGACAGAATCGGTTTAACCATTAAAATACTGTAATACAATTTAGAAAACAAACTCATTTGCCTTCTTGTCTCAAGCTAGATGAGACTATCAATACCACCCTGTTGTTTGTATGATGAATATGAATCTATAGCCAGTAGCTTGTTAGCTTAGCAAAAAATGGTAATGTGGAAACAGGCTTGGCACAGAAGTTGTAGATTCATATACAGTGGGTACGGAAAGTATTCAGACCCCCTTAAATTTTTTACTCTGTTATATTGCAGCCATATGCTAAAATCATTTAAGCTCATTTTTTTCCTCAATAATGTACACACAGCACCCCATATTGACAGAAAAACACAGAATTTTTGACATTTTTGCAGATTTATTAAAAAAGAAAAACTGAAATATCACATGGTCATAAGTATTCAGACCCTTTGCTGTGACACTCATATATTTAACTTAGGCTCTGTCCATTTCATCTGATCATCCCTGAGATGGTTCTACTCCTTCATTTGAGTCCAGCTGTGTTTGATTATACTGATT